AGCTCTGATCTAGTTCATTTCCATGAACCAAAAAGTAGAACACAATAATGGTTGCACTTTGCAGCAAATAGGAATCTTCCATGGCATTACATGTTTCAAGGGTAAACTTTTATACTAAAAGCCTTCCCATTTTTGTCTGCCAGCTTTCACTTGTTGAGTGGCCTGTTTACTTTTTTGGTGTTAAATAACAAATAAAAAAGCCAAGAAACTATCTCAAAGAAAAAAGAAAAAAGAAATAGAAAAATTGACAACTTTTGTGCCTCTAGTCCAAATATTTATTTCTTTTGTGTGGGAGAATGAAGCTCATTTCATAGGATAGTGATTTCCCTGTTTGTTGTGATTCTGCAAATGGTCATTGGTTTAGCTTTTCTACAGTATGAAGACTAGGCAAAAGTCTTTGTATAGCAATTCATGGACACGAGAATAAAATAAAAGATAATGCTTATATTATTAACTTTCTTTACCTTACCTTTTGCTTTCTAAATAAAAAGATAAAATGTTTACTATTAGTGATAGATTCTTAATTATATTTGCTCATTTTTTAATATTTGCTATTAGTGATAAATTCTTTAATAGATTCTTCATTCTTGAATAACATATTTGCTAATTAATTAATTCTTTTTGAGTGACAAATTGAAGATTTCAATGGCAAGTGAAAAACAATAATCCAGCTCCTACTCCTAGTGATGCTACTACATAGCCTACGCCTATTGGCATGCTGTCATCATCACCAACACCAATTGCACAGCAAACTATAATCTCCATTAATAAAAGTGATGCTGTTAATTCTAAGAAACAGAAAGCACCTCCACAGAAGTCTGAAGTTTGGAAACACTTCACCAGATTCGTCAATGATCAAGGTGAACAAAAAGCTAGATGTAATTATTATGATAGGTATTTTCTACTAATATTAAATATAATGGCACAACTTCATTGAAGAATCACATGAATTCTTGCAAAAAGTTTCCTAGTTCTACTAATGATTCTTCTCAAACTGAGTTAGCTTTTCAATAGAGAGATGGGTCAATAGGAACTTGAAAATTTAGTCAAGAAGCCACTAAAAAGTCTCTAACTAAGATGATCATCAAAGATGAGTTACCATTTAGATCAGTAGAAGGGGAAAGATTTAAGGAATTCGTGTCAACTTCATGTCTTAAATTTATTGTGCCATCATGATGGACTATTACTAGAGATTGCTTTAACCTTTTTGTTGATAGAAAGAACCATTTCAAGAATATATTGAGAACATCTTCTTTTAGAGTTTCTTTGATCACAAACACATGAACATCAATTCAAAGAGAGAATTATATGTATTTGACGACTCACTTTATAGACAATGACTGAAAATTACACAAAAGAATTTTAAATTTTTATCCCATTTATAGTCACAAATGTAAGGCCATTGGGAGAATGATTGATAAATGTTTGTGTGATTGGGAGATTAGTAAGGTTTTCACCATTACTGTTGATAATGGTAGTTTCAATGATGTTGCAATAGCACATATGAAGAAAAAATTGAACTTATCAGGAAACAGTTTTTTAGAAAGTAAATTTCTACATATGAGATGTATTGCACATATCATTAATCTCATTGTCACTGATGGATTGAAGGAAATGAATGATTCAATTACTTATATTAGAAGGATAGTTAGATCTGTGAAACAGTCACCTGCTAGGTTAGTAAAGTTCAAAGAATGTGTTGAGTCTACAAATATTCAATTAAAAAATTTGTTATGTTTGGATGTTAGTACTCAATAGAATTCCACTTATTTGATGTTAGAAACAGCTCAAAAGTTTGAAAAAGCCTTTAATTTATTTGAAAAAGCCAATTCTTATTATAGAACTGATTCGTTGATGGGAGATGGGATACTTGAACATGAAGATTAGGAAAATGTTACGAGGTTGAATCTTTTCTTGAAAAATTTTTACACACTCATAGTAAAAGTTTCAAGTACTTCTTATGGCACTATTAATACTTTTCTTGATGATATTTGTTCTGTTTATTGCATTTTGAGAGATAGACAAAGACACCCTAGCTATTGCATTCTTCAACTAAGCTCATAGCCTCCATTAGTGGGAAAAGGAAGAGCATTAAAAGCAGCAACTACAATTAATAGTAGTACTACTTTGTATCTATAAACTGTTTTAGAGCTGGTAAGTGATACCAGAAAAAAATTTGAGGAGCATGATATGCCTTTGAGGCAATAGCTGAATTATCGATGTAGTTTGTGTTGAGACTTTAATGGCATATACTTGTCAAAGCTGCTTATGAAGAACTGCATTTGGTCGCTAATCGGATTGCTTTAAAAATAACTGAAATTGAACTGAACTATATAACTAATCGAGCTAACCGTTTACACGCCCCCTACTTTTAAGTTAGAATGTCCTAAAAAATACAAAATGAGGGCCAAAAAGTTACAATGAAATTAAGAGTAAAGGTAATTTGGCTAACAAACAAAAGATTACATTCAAAGGATGTAACAACAAGAACTATATCCAATGTAAAAGTATTAAATAATATGATAGATCCTTATTCAATAATAGGACATATATTACCATTAACTATGGAGATAACAAATTGAGAAAAAAGGGAGGACTGATTGTAACAACCAAAGTCCTTAGTCATGCAGTCAGATGCACCTGTAACAATAATCCATGTATTATTCTTAGAAGTTGTAGAGAATACTAATGCCTTATTACCCATACTTGAGTGGGCAATGTTTGCCGTAGGTTGCAATTTGTCTATAACATTTGTCGTAGGCTTCGATTGGTTTTCTTTTGTAGATGTCACCATCGCTTTTCCTGTAATCTTCTTTTTAGGTTTCTTTGTGAAGTCCCACCACTCAGGATAGCCAATGATTTCATAACATCGTTGTTTCGAATAACCTGTTTCACCATAATGAATACATACCAAACTGTCAATTTTTTAGTTGATTGATTGCTTCGATTCTTAGAAGAACTAGACGATGGTCCTGGCCAAGTTTGGTTGGCTAGCATAGCTGTGCTCTCAAGATTCGGATGAGAGCCTCCCATTGTCTGTCTTTGTTGATATTCTCTCATGACATATGTATACGTGCTTTCCAAATCAAGTTTTAGATCTTTTAGTAAAATTTCTCTACAGACTTGATCAAATTCAGAATCAAATCCACTTAGAAAAATATGGAGCCTAACCATCGCGAAATGCAATTAGACTACACCTTCAACTGTTCTTTCCTGCGAGATAATCCCGTAATCAATTTCTTGAAAAATAACCACAAGTTCATTATAGTATGTTGACATGGTTGGCCATTTTATTTGGTAGAGAAAGATCTCTAGTTCAATTCAAAAATACGGATCTTGTTTAATCCATCATAAATAGTTTTCAACTTCAATATAGCTTCCTATATCTTCTTGGTTGCGGGAAGACGAATAAATCGTTGCATTAATGATGGACTCATTGAGTCAATAAGCCAATTTTCATTTTGTGATCTTCAATAATCCATGTTCCAAGGTTAGAATCTCTAAGTGCAATTTTTTTGCTTTTTTGGTGAGATATCCAGCTTTATTGCAAGTGACAAAATACATCTTCATGAGTTGAAACCATAATAAGTAATTTGTCTCATCTAGTGTAATATTGGTAAAAAACACAAAATTGTCTTAATGGACAATAATTTGTGGTGTTGGGTTGCTTGTACGGTTTGAATCATGAAATTGCTTAATTTGGTTGGAACAATGGAATTGATTTCTGCCATATAATTTGAGATGAACAGAAAGAAAAAAAATATGATAATGATTTTTCAAGTATGAGTTTAGAATACGAGATTCCTGTTAGAAGGTTTTTTTGTGATTAGAAGTGCTTTGATACCATATAGAAAATATTCAATATCTAAGCAAAAACCTAAACTGCTTGAGACAAAATAAAGAATTACATAAGAAGTTATTTATAATAGCTATCTAAACCTAAACCTACTTGGTGTGCAAGTAAAGTAATTATAATAACCAACTAAACCTAAACTTACTTGGAATATAAGTAAAGTAATTATAATAACCAACTAAATCTAAACCTACTTAGTGTACAAGTAAAGAAAATAGCAAATAAAGAAATATTCTAACCTTAAACTTACTTAGAGTACAAATAAAGTAAAAAGAAAATAAGAAAATATTCTTTCCAAGATATTCTTAAAATTAATAATTCAAACTCATACTGACAGTTTTTGAAATGAACATTTCATTACATAAAAGTATTTTTTACTTAACACATAAGTCCAGCTGTTAACCAACCGTTAATGTTCTATTAGTTTGATGACATGATAATATTGAAAAGATAATTTTACTTTTTTTAATTTTAAAAATTACTATTATATAATTTTTATTAATTTTTTTATTAATTAAAAAAATAAACTAAAAACACTGATCAATTCTTTCTATTCAAAAAAATTATATAATAATATTTTTTTAAATTAATAAAAAATATTTTAATATTTTCATATTATCTATTCACGATGTTTATACTTTTGAGATTGAGTGTTCTTTTCGAAAATTAATGAACCCATTTAGAATTTCAATTAAAACTTAAAAGTGGGCTATTTTCCCTTAATTTTTTGAAGAATAATAACCATTAGCTTTCATCCCTTTGAAAGGAGTTGGAGATGATACAAGCAGAGTAAAGTATTGAAAAAGATATCAAGTAGCATATCAAACGGAGGTATTTTAAGTTTTCTGGGAAATCACTCATGTTTAAGCTGCAGGTCAGATTGCCTAGTCATATCCCATCTCCATTTGTACATTGTAATTTCAGTAAGTAGACTTTCTAATATTTCTAGCATTATCACTTACTCTAATCAGTCTCAAATCATGCAAAGAAGAAGAGTCAGAACCATAACTTAAAATTCTGCAACTAAGAAACTCATCCCTTCAATCCAACTAAAACTAAGAAATTCACGGCCCAAAAGCTTTCTTACAGCAACAGTTTGAACAACCAAAAAGCAAAAATTTCTTGTCAATATTGTACCAAAACAAAGTCAGGAAAGAGAATTTTTCCCAAACATTTGTATCAACTAATTATAAATCTCAAAAGATATATGTCCAATGTACTCAAAGCTTTTTCCATTATTAAAATGGTGACAATTCAAACAAAATCTGCCCAAGTCAGATTGTTGGGTCAGGGCTTCACTGGTGTAGCCATCGAGATCCAGCAGCTAGCACCTGTTCAGCATTGACACCATTACCAAAATGGTTGATAAATTACAACACTATTTTGCAATGACAGACCATGTGTTTCACCATTATCATTTTTCAACAGAATTACCATAAAGAGAGAAAGGCTATTCCCTATTAATTAGACAAGATGGAGCTCACAAGTATATTATTCTATAGTGGGGAGAGCAAAAGTCAGTAGTATCTGACCTCAGAAAACTTTCCCCACTTGTATTTCTGGCTTCGATTTTCAAAAAATTATTGAAAAATTGCTGGATTGAGAGAGATCAACGATAGTATGCCATGTGCCTGGATGACATGAAAGGAGAAGTACCAAAGGGCGAGGCCTTCTGGACTTGGGCAGGGGTTTTGATGGGTTTCTTTTTCTCACACTTGGTTTCAGAGCGAAGCCAGGTCTCAACAACAGAAAGCAAATTTTCCGAACATTTCAACTCATTAACGTCTGTCAACTTCTCAGATCTCTTCAATTCACCATCTTGGATGTAAGCCAGATGTGTTGCCCATGTCTCCAACCCATCAAAGATATGGGTTGCATATACAATTGTGGCTCCTCTCTAAAATATAATAGTAAATATTAGTTAAAGAATTGAAGCATTACACACTGGTTTTAGTAATGATGATGCAATCATCAATGAGAGTACTTGGACAGTACGAGAACATCAATTTTCTACATGCGGAGAGCAATTGAATAAGAGAGCCAATGTATAAATCAAAATGCAATTGCCAATTTAACTAATTGTGCAGAAACAAATGTATCAGATAATGAAAAGCTATATCAACTGTTATATCCTTTTCCTGAACATATTGTAGATAAATGACTATTCCAGCAGCCTATTCATAGTAATCCCTCATTTTCTAGCCCTTATAACACACAACAGAAGTCACTACCTGCTCACATTCCTCCTTAAAGAAATCAAGCAGATCCATCCTCGCAACAACATCAAGGTCCACCGTAACCTCATCTAGCAAAAGAACCTGCAAGAAAGTAAAAGACAAATGCAAGTTCTGAGAAAAAAAAGTTGAGTCGCCACAACAAATCAGCAAAACTAGTAATCATGCAGGTTAGCAGCCACAAAATTTATCTGCAGTTTTTCCAGTGTTTAAAGTGGACGGTGGCAGTTGAAGTTTTGTTTGTCACAAGATAGTATTACAAGGCATCATTACATTCACCCACTCGTGGATTTATATCAATCTTAGAATCATAATATTAAGTATACATGGCGTGCAGCTTCATCTGGTGATATTACTCATATAAAAATGGCAAATTCATAACTTCAAAATACCTGGAAAGGATGAAGAAGACCCATACAAATTTGGACTCGTCGCCGTTGCCCATCAGATACCTTATGCATCCGCCATTGCAAATCAATATCAAGCAGCTCAATCAATTTCTCTCTCCTCACAGGATCAATCCCGTCAACTGCCAACAGTAAAATTAGACAAATCAATTTCAAAGTTGAACAAAAAGGCAAATAGCGAAAGCAACGGTCAAACGGAGCCTAATTCACCCACCTCCAAATATCATGTGTTCTGCAGAGAAGTCCCCCTGCAATGGAACCTCCCCCTGCATATGTTTGGCAAGGTTAAACAACAATTTGAGGACAAGTTTTAAACAAAAACGGTGAATTTAAATCTTTTGGGAAATAAAAAAGACGCTTAGGAAAGATTACTGACAGCAGAGCCAATAGTTTTACTCCAAGATCCACCCAAATAAGCTAAATCGCCACTACAAACAAGTTGAGTGTCATGGAAAGCCGAACGGTTTAGCACTCTCACAACATCTCTTCCACCAACCATATGCTTTCCAGCTAAAATTTTCAACAATGTCGTCTTCCCTGTCCACAAGGACAAATATAAATTAGAATTTTTTGTAGGAAATTCTTTCGGTTAGAAGGTAAAACTGAAGAGGAAATGAATTGGAAGCGATCGAGATTACCAGAACCGTTGGCGCCCACGAGAAGGCAACGCGATCCAGGAGCGATGTCGAGATCGAAATCGACGAACAGCGGAGGCTGTGATTCGTATGCGAATTGCATGCCACACACTCTGATGCTTTTCGATTCTCCATTCCCCTCTTCTTCTCTTGATTTGCAACAAGCTTGCTCCGCCATTTTTTGGGGCAGTAAAAGGTAGCTCCCGCGGCTTTTGGCGATCATATAGGCATGCCCTTCTTTGTTGAGATTCAGCCACTAGGAAATTGACACGTACATGGTTGCTGGAACTAGATTTTCAAGCACTAGTTTTTCTACACGTGCCGGTGAAAGATTTGACACGTTGTTCGCCCTTTCGGCTTTATGAAACGCGGATGTGAGGCTGCGTTTTGATTAGAAGCGGACGTTGGCTTCTTGAGTTTTTCCTTGCGGAGGAAGACGGGAAAAAAATTTAGGTGCTAATACGACCTCCATTTGGGTCGTGTCGAGGCCACGGAGAAACCGGAGGCAGCGAGGGAGAGAGACGGGTCAAGAATGGCATTCTCGATGATTTCTCGTTATTAATGTTAAAGAAGGAAACAAATTTTAAAACCTATTGCAACGATTCGAATTGCAAGCTTTAGGTACGACGATCAGCTTTCTATCAATTTGTTTTCTTTTTCATTTAAGGAAAAAAAAAACAAATAAAAAATCATAATTATATCAGCGTATTACTTTGTTCGTGCTCGTTAGAATCTCAGTAGCTTTGCTTAGTAGTCAAACAGGAATTGGATTTAATCGAATCGTTAACAGAGTTGTACATTTTATTTGCAGTTAAATTAGGGTGACGGAAACGGTTGTTGAAGTAAGAGTTGAATGTGATTTTGATTTGGTAGGTGGAATTGGTGGTTTATATGACGAGATTGGAGCTGATTGAGGCAAATTGGATGGAGGAAGAGGAGGATAGGATCTTGTTGAGTAGTTTGGGGGTCACGTCTGCAAATCCTGAGGATATCGAACGGGATATCTTAGCCAAGGTATCACCTCAACCTCTCTCTCATTTTCAACTTTAGTTTCTATAATCTGACTCTATTTTTTAGAATTACTACTAGCATTTATAAATAGTGCTATTATATTGTGGATATTTGACAATGGCCAATTGTTGAATGACAGGCGGAAAATTATGCTGGGGATGGTAGTGAAGTAGGAGGGAGCACTGAGGAGGAACCTACTGGAAAGTCCGAAAGCAGTGACCCTTCTCCATTAGCCAACCAAGCAAAACTCTTGAATAAATTGAGGGCCATAGAATTTGAGATAGATGCTGTTGCATCGACTGTTGAAGAGGGGAGAAATGTTGTGAGTGGTGATGATCGAGCTGATCATGATGATGATGATGATAGCGCGAAGAAAGGGAATAAAGAGGATGACGAAAGTGTTATGCATGTGTCTTCACTTGATTTGACCCTTCAGCATGCCCTAGCTACTGATAGACTGAAGAGCCTTAAGAAAACTAAGGCTCAACTTGAGAAAGAACTGTCTGGTTTACTTGTAGAAAGTTCGTCTGAGGGCATTAAGCATGACAAGTTGATAAAGGACCTGGTGAAGGAAGAGCCTAGACCAAAGAGAAAGTCAAAAGAAATTCAGAAACCCAGCAAAAATCAAGAAAAGAGGAAGAAAACAGTTTCCTTTAATGATGATGTTGATTTTGATGCAGTGTTGGACGCCGCATCTGCTGGATTTGTAGAAACGGTAAGTTAATCATGGTTATTAGGTCTGATACTTATTGGCTTGCCTAATACTAAATAGTTAGAGAGAAGGGATTAGATAATTATTTTTTACGTCTGTGATTGAAGTTTTAAATTGTATATGTTTATCACCTCCCTCTGTTTAAAGCTGGGGGAAGGGAAGGCTACTAACGCTATAATATTTATGGCTTAGGAAAGGGATCAACTGGTGCGGAAGGGAATTTTAACTCCTTTTCATAAGCTTAAGGGCTTTGAGCGTCGTCTTCAACAGCCTGGAACATCTGATGGGCACAGTATACCTGTTGAAGAAGACGAGAATGATACTCTTGTTTCTTCTAGTGTTGCTAGAGCTGCAAAGTCAATATCAGAGGCTGCACAGGCTCGGCCATCAACCAAACTACTTGATACTGAAGCTTTGCCAAAGCTTGATGCACCCACCTTTCCTTTTCAAAGGTTAAGAAAACCTTTTAAATTTCCTCAAACTAAAGAGGTAGAGGAGAATAAAGGTTTGAAACAGAAAAAGAAGAGGCCTTTGCCTGACAAGAAATGGAGAAAGCGCATCTCTCATGAGGAAAGGGATCTGGAAGAGGGAGGTGTGCTCACTTTGTCCTTGCTTAAGTTACTATGTATTCTATGACTACCATGATTTCTTTTAAAGAAGAAGTTTCTTGCTTAGTTTACCATTTTAACCATCATCCCTTAACAGGCAGCAAATATATATGAACTAATGTTTGTTCTTGATGGTTGTGATACATTATCTTTATGATGAACACAGTTGTAACTGTTCTGTTTTCTGCTGAATATGTGCTGACAGTTGCTTGAATATATGCTGTGCTGAAAGCTTTTTTTGCTGCATCAATTTTTTTCTTACATTGTGCAGAAGATGAGAGGGATAAGTTCACTTCTCATGATGAAGAAGAAAACCAAGAGGACTGGGAGGATATGGATGATAGTGATCCTCCTTATGTTACACTTGAAGGTGGGCTAAAGATCCCTGAAACCATTTTTAGTAGACTTTTTGACTATCAAAAAGTGGGAGTGCAGTGGTTGTGGGAACTGCATTGCCAAAGAGCAGGTGGGATTATAGGGGATGAAATGGGTCTTGGCAAGACCGTCCAGGTCTTGTCTTTTCTTGGAGCATTACACTTCAGTAACATGTATGAACCAAGCATTGTTGTCTGCCCTGTAACACTCTTGCGACAATGGAAAAGGGAGGCACGAAGATGGTATTCAAAATTTCACATTGAGATACTACATGATTCTGCTCAGGATCCTGCTTATGAGAAGAGTCAAGCCAAATCTCATGGAGAAAGTGATCATGAAAGTGAAGGTTCACTTGACAGCGATTATGAGGGAAACTTTTCTTCCAAAAGCAGAAAAAAATGGGATTCTTTGATAAATAGAGTTTTGAGATCAAAATCTGGGTTGCTAATTACAACTTATGAGCAACTCCGGTTGCTAGGGGGAAAGTTGCTTGACATAGAATGGGGTTATGCGGTTCTGGATGAAGGACATCGAATCCGAAATCCAAATGCTGAAATCACTCTGGTTTGCAAACAGCTTCAGACGGTTCACCGTATAATAATGACTGGTGCACCGATTCAGAACAAGCTTGGTGAACTGTGGTCATTATTTGATTTTGTTTTCCCTGGAAAGTTGGGTGTCTTACCTGTATTTGAGGCAGAGTTTGCTGTCCCTATATCTGTTGGTGGATATGCCAATGCTTCACCATTACAAGTATCCACAGCCTACAGGTGCACATTGTGTATCTCTGAAAATTTGAGTTGGTTTTAAGGAAGTTGGGAGGAGTGGTTGTCATCAGTGCCTTGTGTTTCTTCATGCTGAATTCTTTGACTGTTTTCCTTTATGAATGATTTCTGAATTTGGATATTGTGCAGGTGTGCTGTTGTCCTCCGTGATTTGATCATGCCTTATCTCCTCCGGCGCATGAAGGCTGATGTGAATGCCCAACTGCCTAAAAAGACAGAACATGTACTTTTTTGCAGCCTTACTGCTGACCAAAGATCTGTTTATAGAGCATTTCTTGCTAGCTCAGAGGTGGAACAAATATTGGATGGGAGTAGAAATTCTCTATATGGAATTGATGTGATGCGCAAGATCTGCAACCACCCTGATCTGCTTGAGAGAGATCATTCCTGCCAGAATCCAGACTACGGAAATCCTGAACGCAGCGGGAAAATGAAAGTTGTTGCCCAAGTGCTCAAGGTTTGGAAGGAGCAGGGCCATCGTGTTCTTTTGTTTGCTCAAACACAGCAAATGCTTGACATTCTTGAAAATTTCTTAATTACTAGTGATTATGACTATCGAAGAATGGATGGACATACTCCCGTAAAACAGAGAATGGCCTTAATAGATGAATTCAATAACTCTGATGATATATTTATTTTCATTCTGACAACAAAAGTTGGTGGTTTAGGAACAAATTTAACAGGTGCAGACAGGGTGATTATCTTTGATCCTGATTGGAACCCATCGACAGACATACAGGTATCTTTTGAATGACTCTTCTTTTTAATGACATATTGTTTAAGATATAACAAAACACACCTAAAACATTAATTCAGATGAATTTATAGTAAAAGGTAGACCTGTGGTGGATCTGGGTGCATTTTGCTTGATATTCCTATTTGAAGGTTGTTGTGATCGCTGTCATATATAACAGGCGAGGGAACGTGCTTGGCGTATTGGCCAGAAAAGAGATGTAACCGTATACAGATTGATTACCCGTGGAACAATTGAGGAGAAGGTGTATCATCGGCAAATTTACAAGCATTTTCTTACAAATAAGATATTGAAGAACCCCCAGCAGAGAAGGTTCTTTAAAGCTCGAGATATGAAGGATCTTTTCACCCTGAATGATAATGGAGAGAATGGATCAACTGAAACATCTAATATATTCAGCCAGTTGTCTGAAGATGTAGATATTGTTGGTGCTCAGACAGATGAGCAGGATAAGCAGAAACAGTTGAAAGCTGCTACTCCTGATGCTGATCCTGCTGCCAGTGGAAAAGGAAATTGCTCAAATACTGGTCTTTCAAAGAGAAAGGGAAAGGAAAAGGAAAAAGATGATCATAGTGATGGTGAAGTAGATGAAGAAAAAAATATTTTGAGAAGCCTTTTTGATGCCCAAGGGATACATGTAAGATGTCCCTCTATCTGTGATAATGATTTCCTTTATCTAAGGGTAGTTTCACTGTTTTGTTTAGGGTACCGCTTCTTTAAAAGCATTACAATTTCTTGTTAACTCCACAGAAAAGTTAAAATGTATTACTTCACATTTTTTTGTTGTATCTGGAAAATCAAAGCAGTGCACGTTCTTTGCTTAGTGGTGCTATCTGAAAACTCCTTTTTAAATTTTTTCTTTTTGAGACACATGGTGAGTAGTATTCACCATTGCTGGTGCACATGTTTAACAAAATTTTTTTGATAAATAGATTTTTTTAGATCCATTATATTCTTATAAAACCTTTTTCCACATAACTGAAGAATTTTGCCTTTCCTTCTTATGCACCGGTGAATGTGATCTTTTTTTGGTTTGCTTTTTATTTTCTATTTTTTCTTTCCTCCAGAGTGCGGTGAACCATGATGCCATCATGAGTGCCCATGGTGAAGAGAAGATGAGGCTTGAGGAACAGGCTTCACAGGTGGCACAAAGAGCAGCAGAAGCACTACGCCAGTCACGAATGCTTCGAAGCCATGATAGTATTTCTGTTCCAACTTGGACTGGGAAATCAGGAGCGGCCGGTGCACCATCAGCAGTTCGTAAGAAATTTGGATCAACTTTGAACTCCCAGTTAGTAAAACCCCCAGGTGAGTCGTCTAGCAATGGCATTGCAGCTGGGGCAGCTGCTGGGAAGGCATTGTCTTCAGCAGAATTGCTAGCTAGAATTCAAGGAAACCAAGAAGAAGCAGTTGGTGCTGGGCTGGAACAGCAGTTTGGATTGTCTTCGAGTTCTTTTAACAGGGCAAGATCTGTAGTTAATGGGACTACTAGGTCATCTTCTTATGTATCCAGTGTGCAGCCTGAAGTATTGATACGTCAGATATGTACATTTATACAACAAAGAGGTGGCAGCACTGATTCAGCCAGCATTGTGGATTACTTTAAAGACAGAATACCCCCAAACAATCTGCCTTTGTTTAAGAATCTATTGAAGGAAATTGCTATACTAGAGAAGGATCCAAATGGATCAGTTTGGATTCTAAAGCCAGAGTATCGGCAGCAGTAATTTGTTTATCCAGAGATTTATTGCTTCAACAGGGCTCCTAGTTTACTTCCTTTGAACTCATTCTTAAGGCCACACACCAATCCTGCCCAAGTGGTTTAAATTTTGTCTTCGGAGCTGCGGCCAGTTTCATTTAGGGGGAAAATGGAAAAAGGGAAGAGTTTAGTCTATAAATTTTTGGTGCCCTTGTTTGCAGCGCATTTTTACAAGCACAATCCCCTCTCAGCGTATAGCGTAGAGTTTCACTTGTTTGAGGCTTTTTACTTTGCTGGACCATGACATGACCTTCATGGTTAGCTCAAAACGCATGAAAAAAATGTACCTTTTTTTTTTGGCCTTAATGAGGCGTGCATATAATTTAATTGATTTTTTTCCTCGACTATTTTCGTCAATATGCACTCATTGGATGCCCGTCGGCTTTTTTTTTTTTAATTAATTAAGATTAGAATACACGTTAATATTTAGATATGAAATATATAAAATATTTTATGTGTTTTACTCTTTTCCTTCTCCCAAGTTGACCGTTGAACATTGACTGATCAAAGATTCGACTCCCCTAACTTGCGGAGCATAGTTGAGTGCTCCCCAAAGGAGTGCGTCCAAAGATCAGACTGAAAAGGTGGTCAACTAATGGTAGGAGTGTTACCAATCGACCATTTGGGAGGAAAAAAGTTACAGGTGAAAAGGTTCTTTTAATAGGAAACATATTTTAAAAATAAAAATTATTATTTATATATTATGTAATTTTTAAAATTAATAAAAAATAAAATTATCTGAAAAATATAACCACATTAACTAATTAACTAAAATATCAACGAAACTCTAATGATTGAACTCACGCGTACAACAAAAAATAATTTTTAAGATAGATCATCTATTTTTTAAACTAATAAACATGTATGAAATTTTAATTAAAATTTTAAAAAATGTCCACATTTTACTCTAAATTCTTTACAATCAATATACTGTTTATTAAAATTAATTAATTATTCTACATATAATTTTCAAATTTAATTAAATTTTTTATAAATTAATTTTAATTTTTATTAATGATATACATACAAAATTATTTTAATTAAATATTTAATAAATAATCCATACAAGTTCAGATAACAATTTAAAAATTTAATTGGATAAGCTCAAATACAGAATACCCTTACCCTTACGTTTAAAGGTGAATGCTTGTGCAAGCAGCTCTCTTGAGTCACTGTCACTGATGCAAATTCTTGCTAGCAAAACGGGAGTGGAGACCAGCTTGAGATACTAAGAAGCACAGTTGAGAAGTCGAGATGCTACTCTAAACTAAAACTAGCCTTGGGCCCTACCAGATCAATCTAGTCATCCACAGTTCATTCACGCATGCAACACTAGAAATCAGTGGCGACTGGAAAGGGCCAGGATTGATGGTTGTGCTGTTTAGATCAGCAAATTATATTCAGAGCAAAGTCCAAATGGAGGGGTATCTTGCCTTGTGGATAGGCCGGCCATGGAGACAACATGTCACACATCAATTAACACATCCAATTCACTTTAGATTTAGAAGAAAAATAAGAAATTTCTCTATTATATGTAAATAGTATAAGACAAAATCATACAAGTTCAAGTAAGACAAAAGAGGCATATCATTATGATCTTGGAATCATTATTTTCCAAACATTTGGAAGTATTTGATACCTTGTCCTTTCTTTGTTTTTTTTTTTTTTTTTGCTCTCTTCATTTTCCTTTCAAATATCAAAAACATCAAACAGAAGATCTTACATACTCAACAAATGTTCACACAATTAGAAAGCCGCCCATCCTGATGCAGTGGTCTTCTTAGATCCTAATCCAGTCGCAGGAAGATTCCTCTGTAAATGCCATCAAAGTTGTTAAATGTGCAGCCAAAAACAGGTTTCTGTTTCTAAGAAAATACAGCAGACCCTATGGTGCTGAACATTTATCATCCAGGTAAACAGTACCTAAGAAAACATCCATAACATCATTCAAGTATGATAAAAGCCAAAAAATAATTCCATTTTACATTAGAGCTTCTTCCACCACTAGGGATTAGGGAACGATAAGCATTGATTTTAGCACAGCACAATTAGTACAGGAAAATATAAAAGAAGTCCATGCCGCTAAACACATATAACATCTATAAAACAATGGACGTGCAGAATCATCTTGAAGACATGCTGGCACGACATTGCTTGCCAAGGGGTTTGAGTATAACTTAAATCCAACAAAGAAAAATCAGGCATGTGGTGTAAAGAGTATACATCAAAGCAAGCCAGAGGTCTTCTAAAATATATTATAATACCAATGCCCTATCAATGATACATTCAGATTACCTCCCTGATTAAGACATGCTTAGAAGCCAAGAAAAAATCAGGCATATGGTGTAGAAAGTATACATTAAGGGAAACAAAGATCTTCTAAAATATATTATAATGCCAAATCCCCAGCAAAGCTACATTCAGACATATTACCTCCATGATTAAGACATGCATAGAAATCTGCTTCGCTATTAAAAGCAGTTAGTACTTTGTCCAATTGATCAGCACATGTAAATATTCTACCATATATTTTCTTATATTTTTCAAGTTTTCTTTCTGTAAAAAAAAAGCACTAATAGTTTGAAACTACATCATTACCAAGCAAAAGCTGCATCCAAAGCACACATTACTACAGTCATCTCAAAAAAAGAGCACAATCAGTGAATAAAGATCATCTTCTTTTGGCAACAGCCTACTGATGCATTTAGGAATACAAAAACTATAACCTTCAGACAAAGACATCAAAGTTTGCGTACAGTACGTGAAACATATATCAGGTAGCCATACCTCTAGTTGAGAAAAATCTGTTAAAGGGTCAGTTTGTCTTGCATTTTCCTTGGGTGCTCTTAGACCAACACCTTGACTAGTAGAGGTCATCCGAGCAGCAGCAGGGTCATTGGGAGGGGGTGGGAGAGGAGACCTTATTTTTCCTGCACCAGTGGGTGGTGGGGCTAGGCCCAAAGTCTTAGGTTTTCCACTACCTGAAAGTCCCCCTGACAATCCTGCGGCTGAAAGCATGCCAGTTCCACTAGATGGCTTGTTCTTCACATTAATCCGGATGGTCTCACCTTCCTATAACCCAAAACACCATAAGATCAAAATCCACCTATAATAAAAACAAACACAGTATTCAAAACCCATAAATAATGAACAAAATAATAGACTAAATTGCACTCTTTAGAGCAGAAAAATAAAACAAGCAAGCGCAAATGATGAATGATCAATCCAATTAAAACCCTTATTTACTATTTATCAGTAAAGCATGAAATATCAGAACGATGGAACCTAAAACAATAAATATATAAACCATTTATTAAATATGGCACATTGGCCAAAAGAAATTTCACAATCCCTCCACAATATTGGGATTCTTTAAGACATCAATACCAAAATCCAAATTCAGAAAATAAATTCGAAATTATAAATACAAATTAAATTATAAATGGAACCAACCAATCAACTATGTATCTTTCTTTGCTCGCATTCATAAAATCATGATCTTTCAAGATATAACGCCAACAATTTCGCTTAAATAGCTCAAAAAAACACAATAAAATAAATCAAAACGACCTGCCCTAGCCCCACATTCTCAAATCAGTCAAAATTGAAACTTTTATAATACTAAATAAAAGATAAGAAATCAAATTGTAACCCAACAATTTCACGTAAATAGCTAAAATAATAAGATAAAATCAGTAAAACAAGAAATCAACCCGCATTCTAAGATCAGTCAAATTTGAACTTTTAAAACTACTAAAAAGCAAAAAACTTGAAAATTGATACCTTCAATCTGTGATTAACAGCAGGATGGATATCAATATGGGAATCACTCTCACTCGTCTCACCGGTCTCTTTCTCATTCTCTCTTCTAACATACTTCTCGTGATCGGACAACGCCACGTTGAAATCAAACGCCTCGTTCCGTTCATTAAACCCAAGCCCGATAAACGCGTGTTTCCCATGCCCGTCCTCGATCTTGAGCACGAAGTATCGCGAGGAATCGAGGGCCGGCTCGACGGAGCTCTCGCGTTGGCCCGGGTGGACGAAACAAGCGGCGAAGAGCTCAGCCGAGTTGGGATCCTCTAATCGGATCTCGCAACGGTCCTTGCACGAGACGACCCGGAGCCGACCCGTCCAGATCTTGTCGGATTGGAGCCACTCACCGCATTTGTAGCCGCCGGAGGTAGAGCGGGGCGGGATTTTGTAGACGGAGACTTCGCGGACTACGAGGAGGGTGTGTTCGAAGGACTCTTCTTCGTCGAACGACATGTCGCAGAAATGCAGAGGGGGTAAGATTAGGGTTTTTTCTTTGGCAAAAAATAAGAACTTTGAAAGATTTTTAGGGAAAATTCGGAGAGAGAGAGAGGTGAGAGGTGGAAGGGAATAATCGGATGTTGAGAGGTTTGGGTGGCAGAGACGTGGATTCAAAGAGACTGATTGATATGTCAACTGCTTTCCGGACGGGGAAGCTGTACTCAATTACTCTTTTATCCTTTTTGTTTTCCAAAATGTCGATTTCGGGCATTTGGGCACCTGTTCCCATCCATACCTTACCAAGTCCGGTGGGCGGGGTTGAGCCTTCTTGCGTGGTCTGGTCTGCTGGACCTTTGATTTTGCGTCCAACTAGGATTGTAGGTGGGCGGGCCCTTCAGCTGTTTCCCCTTTTGTCCCTTAATCTTGTCTTCAAATTGGAAGTTTTGTGTTTTTTGATTAAATATTTAAATAAATTCTAAAACGATATAAAGAAGTCAATTAAATCCATATCTTTTTAATACATTTAATTAAATTTTTAAATTTTTATTTTAAATTAAATAAATATTTTTTTTAATTATTAACTAATTTTTGTTAGTTAACAGTACTATTCGTATTTTTATAGTACATTGTTTGTCGCGTGACTTATTAACGTGTTATTTTGATATATTAATACTACATGATAAATTATGTGACATAAAATGTTGTTGAATAACAATGTTCTTCTCTCTTTTTGCCCAATCATATGTCTTAAATCATGCAATAGGGTTTGTCATAAGACAACCTAATTACTCTATTCAATTTTCTCTAATTTAATAGAATAATCATTTGTGCCTAAACAAATTAAATCATCTAATAGAGTTTTTAACAAAACTAACTAAATCATCTTCAATAGAAAAAAAATTATCGTAGATACAAAAAGTCAAATAAATCCTAAATTGGATCTCAATTTAACGAGTTAATTAGTGTAAGCATTATCCCATTAAATTCAATCTTTAGACCTTAGACCGACTAGAATTGCCTCTTTTGGCTGGAAAACCATAGTCCACAAGCTAGTGAAACATATAAACAAAGGGATGATATGAAATAGACAAGCCAAAAAGGATTACCTTCATCCTAAGGATTT